TATAGTTGATAAGAGTAAATACTGTCTGACATTTTCATTTATCATTACTTGAAATTAATAATGGAAATGCTGCTCGGGTGATCTACAGACGGTGAATAGTATGCTTCTCTGTTTTCAAATAGTACGAGCCAAGCCCACGTGCGCAGAGTCAAGATCGCAGTGTGCGAGCGAGACAGCGCTAGAGCAGCCTTGGGAAAGAGATGGCTAGAGCGTTGGTGAACACGTTGACAATGGTGACAGGAACTCAGCCAAGCCGCAGTCAGCGAGATCGGCAAACATGACAAGCCGGCGCAACGAATCGCCATTTTGCGCTGTCCTTTGGTTGGTCCTTTGGCGATCATCCTGTCACGCGTGTGTCGGGGTTTCGTTTATTTTCTTCTTGTCGTTTATTTTTTTCAGGGTGTTTGCTATTTGGACGTTAAAATAAATTATAATAAATAAAATAAAAGACGAAAATCTCTCAAAAATGACACTAAAATGTTTAGTCTCTCTCTCTCGCTCTCGCTCTCTCTCTCGCTCTCTCTAAGAGTTCTCTTTTTCTCTCTAGCTCTTTTCAGCTCATTGATTGGATTTAACTTCACACATCGTCTGAACGTCTGCAGCAGCAGTTTATTCGAGGCTTACGACCTGGCACTGAGCACAATTTTATTGTTGGTGCAATTAGTTCCGATTGGCACTGCCAGGATCGAAGATCCTTGCCAGCCGCATATGTTCGCTCCTCAATAGCTGCAACGACTGCAGCATGTTGTCCATTTACAGCAGATTAGCGACGGCGTTCGCAATCTCATTGTAGCCCAGAGTTGGAGTCGGAGTCGGAGTCGCAGCTGCCGATCGTGCAATTTGTTGCGCCTCACCGTGAATGCCTCCTACTTGCCACATCGTCACATTGCCACATTGGCACGGCGCATTGTTTTTGTCGTGCGACTAATTATTTATGGGTTCCAGTGCTAACCAGACACAATTTGGGGTTGCACAGTCCTACGAATCGATAGGGATCAACTGAATCGCTTGGGGTTAAATCTATTTATAGCCAGCTCAAAGGGTTGCATGTAACTTTAATTAATATTAGCTAAAGGGAAGTAGGAAATAGAAATGTATTAGCCAATTACCACAGCTAACATTCAGATGGACATGCTATATAAGTGTAGGCCTACAGAGATATTGGGAAATGTATTAGAGCTGATTGCTTATAGAAATAATGTACCTTAACGTATCTTAAACTAAGTAAAACAGGTTAATCGACCCAGAGGCGAACGCAACTAGACAGCTATTTAAGTTACTTACGCATTATATTTAGTATCTAGAAATCAGTAGGTTGTCTCTTCAGACTACGCTCCGCAGCTGGATAGCTGTCCAATTTGCGAAATGATATATTTATGCGGCTCAATAGACATCAACACGTCTCAGCTGAGTTATATGTAGATTTGTGATTCTCCTTTGCTTTATTACCCACGAGGCAGCTCCAAGCCGGCCTGCACTTCCTACAATATAATCATTTTATCTTGAATGTGCCCTGCAACGCCCACCGCGGACACGCCCCAGCTGGGCCGCAAAAGACGAAGAGCAGGTCGAGGCAGCTGCAGGGAGGAGCAGGATGAGGTTGCAATCGAAAAATTTGTACGTGCTGTCATCGATCGCGATCGTGGGATACGCGGACAGAGGAGCAGACTCGAACTGGGGCCGAGGCAGCGCTACGTCAGGTGATAAAGCTGCAACAGTTGGCCCCAAAGTCCAGCCAGGCGGACTCCACTCGAGCAGCTCTCGCTGGCTACATGGCTAATGTGATTACAGACTTTAAGTTTATAAACATGGGCCAGGCCGCTGCCTACCGAGAGGCAGCTCAGCAGCCGCCGGTCCACATACACAGCCACAGTCACAGCCACAGCCACAAGCACAGCTACAGCTTCAGCTTCAGTTCCAGATCCAAGCGGCCCTCCTGTTGCGTTGCAATTACGGCGCGTGCAGGCGACCCTCGATCCCAGTGCCAGACCTTCTACCCGACAGACTCCCTCTGCCTCTCTGCAATGTATCCCGATCTGGCTGTGCCTGATGAATTCTTATTAGCTGCCTTTGGTATCGGCTGCGCAGTTATTAGCGGCAAACTTCAACCGTCGCTTCCTCATAACTTTTGCTCTATTTTTCTTGGTCTTCGCTTTCGCCCGACTCTCGGGATCTCCCTGGAGCTGTCGAAGTGTCTGGGCCCCAGCATTGCGGATTTGTCGGATAACGCTGCTGCCTCAATGTCTGCCGCCGCGGCAACACTAGCGCTGAGCGCTGAGCGCTGAGCTCTAAGCTCTGTCCAAGTCCATGTTGTCAGCGAGGCACGCGCAAATCCCTAATGGAATTCAGCCCAAGTTTCATATGTGGGCCAGAGAGGAGCGCTATGGTGTGCAGGGGGTATTGCATTTAGTTGCGCACAGCTCACGTTGCGCGCTGAGTGAATCATTAAAACTTAAAACCAAAGGGGATGAGGAAAAGATACTCAAAATTAGGTTAACAAATTATTGTTTTGAATTGGAATAATTCATTAATTGATGAATAATAATAAAGGCCAAGAATATAGTGATAATATTTTTTTTTTGTTGCATGAAAAGAACAATTTTAATTAAAATCTGCCATGCGTTGACAATTATTATATGTAACGTAAACTAACTTTAATTAAATTTAATATATATTTTATTTATTTTATTTTCTTATTGGTATTTATAATAAATGAATTATTTAGTCAAAAATATTGTTATTTTGTAGGTGATCCATCAAAATCCAACCAGCAACAGATGCTCATTTTTTGGCAGCACAAAAGTATGCAATACACATTCATGTCAATGGGCAGAATTATTTCTTTTACTGAAAGTAGGCAGTGGAATTCGTTTGTTATTGTTTCCATTTGCGCCCTAAAAGTATGCAATGAAATAATATGGTCAAAGCCAACAATACTAAGAAAACATATATCTAATCCATGTAGATCCTTCCTCTGTAGATCCTTATGCATCATGCCCTGCAAAACTCTTCAAGCGATTGTAGTTTTGAAGCCAAGTCATATCTTGGAAACTACAAGGACGAATAAGATGTCCTTGCGACAGTTGATAGCCCTGGTCCATATTTTCAAAATACCTTGTTCGTTAAGTTTGTAAGGACTACACCCAACGAACTGAATCAAAAGATTAGGGGTCATCTAAGGATCCAGCGACTTTGAAAATTTCGGTCGCGAAACGCAAGAAAACAGGTAAACATCACAAATTCTTCGATATTTCGGCAACCACAAGGACGATTCGGTTTGATTGCCACATGACTCGACAGGATACGCAAGGATATAGCCGAGTTAAACGCACTTTTGTGTTTCGAAAATCGGCATTTTTTTCAGTCGCTTGAAGGACTTTCGTCCTTTTTATTGCTAATTCGTAAGGGTAAGGAAATTGGCGAAATGGCGAAATTAGCCCGGATTTTTAGAGTTTTTGGCTAACCCCCTTGGAAAATATTTTGGTGACATTTTAGTCGAATGCTGGAAATCCTTGAATGCCAATCGATAGTCCTGCCTCCCACGAGCTCAAAAAGATATATCCTTCCGATATCTTTAAGGATTTGGCCAGTTATGGCCAAAAATAGAGTGTTCTTTTCACAAAAGTAGCCAAACCTGGGCCATATCCTTGCAGATTTTCATAGGACTTGGTGCGTTAAGATCGCAAGGACGATCTGCACAATACTGCATCAAAACATTGCAGGGTCATCTAAGAATCCAGGACTTGGAGGAGCTGTCCTTGATCCTTAGATGACCCCCGTAATTTTTGATGCAGTGTGGTGCAGTTCGTTCCTAACGCACCAAGTCTTTGGAAAATCCTCACGGATACAGCCGAATTATGGTCACTTTTATGTCAAGAGCAATATATTTTATTTATATCCATAACTCGACCAAATCTCAATGATCCGACCAAGGGTTGCAGCAAGCCTAAGCAACTTTTATTGATTCGTTCACAGTATTTTTATTTTCTGCTGTGATTAATATACAGGGAATGTAAATAGATATAGATATCAACAAGTTTACACACTAAACAGAATACTTTTTACAAATCTACATATGCGACATTCCTTTAAATATTACTCATTAAGATCTACGCCCTCTCCGTTAACCTGAATAGTAATGTAGTCGCTAGCTTCAGCGTTGTCATTCTCTCGCTGTGGATTAGCCAAATTTGGCGCTGGTGGAACCATGCCAGGAGGCAAGGGTGCGGCTCGCCTAGGCAGCGATTGCAAGGAAATCTCGTCGTCCTCCCGCCGCATGAAGCGGCGACGAGTGCGTGCAAAGTCGAAGGTTTCTCTTTGTCTCTGGCGCGACTGAGCATACGAAGCATCCGTGAGCTGCTGCAGCCCATGAGTGGAGCTAGTGCGTCGCACTGGATCCACCCTAGGTTGATGAACCGCTGGCGGCTGTCCCTGACTTATTGATGGCCGCTGTCCACCAAAGCAACCGGTTGCGTAGCTTCCATCCGCGGAGCGTGAGCGCCGTTGTCGTGTAGAATCTCGAGCACTCAGCAGTTGCTGTAAGAACAAGAGTGCTTAGGGAATCGTTCCTTGTAGTAAAAGTAACTCACCTGTTGCATTTCGTCCTTGCGAAAACGCCTCAGTCCTTGCTGCTCCTCCAGCTTGTTGCTCATCTGGGTCATCCAGTCGCGCGCTTGTCTCAGCGACAGCGAACTCTGGGAGCGCTCCGGCAGACGGGCGGGAAACAGCGTCTCCCGGGCACCCACCACGCTGCCGCTGTTCAGGACGAAGACACGCGGGAAATCTATTACAAAGTTACGGCTCTGTATGAGATCGACCAAAGCGCTGGATTGAGCTTGAGCCGGTGCTGGTTCCTGGGCTAAAACAACTGCTGGTGGGGGATTGGAGCTGCCGGCAGTTCGAGCCGGCTCATACTCCAATATGCTCTCTTCACTGCCCAAAAACTGAAACGAAAAGAAGTTATTGAAAGCGCAGATCCATGAATCAATGGAGCGAGCGAGGAGGTCCTCCGAAGTCGGTCCCTTGGCAAATCTACTGATGATTGGACAAGCGCTAGAAGCTCAACGGCATCTACATGGCAAACAAGCGAAGCGTTTTCAAATTCAATCAATTTATTTTGTTCTGTTTTGTAGGTTCTTAAATATGCTTGAGTCAACGTTTTGTTTAAGGTGTTAGCAAAAACTATATGGTATATATATTTATGGAGTACATATCTGGTAATTGTAATCGACAACTAATTAAGGCCCTACGTCTTCTTAACTCTGACTTGTTTTATGCTTAGCGGGCAGTTTTCTGGTTTTGTGGAGTATTCCTGGCGATAAATTGTTCGAAATGGGAAAAACTAAAAATAAATAAAATTAATATGCAATTGGTTTTTGGTATTTTTTTTTCTTTTTTGGCATTGGATCGCAGATATGTTTTCTTAGGTATAAAGCAATTTTCCGAAACCCTGGAACTCATTTCTAAGTACATATTTATATACACACATATACTCGTATTATTATTTGTGCTCTCGTATAGTTAAGGATCCGTTTTAAGGATCAAGCATTAACGCAGCTGTGCTAAGTGTTTAAGTAGCCTTCTCTTAAGCTCGTCCAAGTTGCCAGCTTGTCAAATGTTTTTGGTTAATAATGTTTGTCGAATTCAAATTCGTCCATTAAATGGACTGCGAAATCATAGAGAGAAAAACCGAGAAAAATTAAAATAAATAATATAACTATCGGTATATTTATTCAATTTGAACAACTAAAGCTAAAAGCAAATACTTTGGCACCTTCGACATTATGTTTAAGTGTGTGAATGAGTGTTACTTGAGTGTTTAATGCTTGTATGTGTATGTATAGTACGTGTTTGAGGCGAGGCTTTAGCCATTGCCATTATTGACTAGCAAAACAGGCGCTGATTTTGCTACAAATTATCTTGCATTAAATATTACAGCTACTACGGCTACGCGTTTTATGAATTATAATAATACATTTACATAGTTATACATAGTTTATAGTAATAGTAGTTATTGTAGTACTCGTAAATATTTCTGTTTGCGCTTCTTTCGTTATTTGTTTTTTGTTTATCGACAATTGGTACGCTTAAGTTTAGAACTTAAATATAAAACTTAGAAATCTGCGATATTTATGTTGTTTTCTTTTCTTTTTTTCAATGTGCGTGGGCATTCTTCTTCAGTTCTGTGTCTACAGACTACGCTGATTAGAGCTGTTAAACAATCCAATTGGAGATGTATCTTATAGTTTAATAATCTTCAAGATACATTTCCTTTTGAATGTTTTTCCACAGAGTTACCGTTAGTTTCGCTCGACTGCTGTTCAGCGTTTTAAGTACACGGCGTTCACTGCTTTGCACTGCTTTGCACTGCTTGTCGAAAGCAGTAGGGCGCACCGCTGCACGCATATTTACATGGTAAGTACGCAGCACGTAGAATGTAAAATTTAAATATATAAATGATTTTATACGTAAGCGTAACTATATAGATACGAGGATTACTAATAAATCAGTTACCGGGTGACTTATACGTCAGTCACCTGGCGACTGGCAGTGCAAATTATTTGCGGCATTGTCGCCGGTGCCGAGTTGCGTCTGCCGCGTTCGCGTTCAGCTGAGCCACCCTGTTGAGGCTGCTGCTGCTGTGACTGCTGTTGCTGCTGCAGCAGCGACTGTTGCTGGTGGTAACTACTGCTAGGACTACGCTGATGATAGTTGATAGCACTAGGATTTAAACTACTGATGTTGTGCTGCGGCAGGCCCACAACAATGACGGGCACCACCTCCTCGGAAGCGGATGGAGCGGCACCAGCAGCAGCAGCAGCAGCAGCTGCCGTTGTGGGTGGCAATGCGAGGGGCGCATTATGCTGTGGACTGGGTGTTTGATAGATTTGATCACCCACCACATAACCATAAAACTTGAGGACATCAAGCTTGCACATTGGGCAGGTGCGATGCTCGATCAGCCACGGATCAATGCAGTTCTTGTGGAACTCGTGCCTAAAACAGACTCATATCTTAGTCAACTTACTCAATATTCAATTCAATTCTTGACTCACTTGCAGGGCAAAATGCGGATTATGTCAGCGGGCTTGTAGGACTCAATGCAAATGGCACAGCAGTCGCTGTCCAAGTCCTTTTCGTCGGTCATCTTGCCCGTTTTGGTTGGTATTTTCATAATGGCCTTCTTTGTCACTGAGCAAAGATTGCGCTGAATTGTGACAGTTATATTAATATATATACGTAAGCAAATGATTTTGTATTTAAGAGTTGATATCTTACCGATTGCTGATCCTTTGCTTGCATATAACGGAATCTTTGTATGTAGTAAAAGATAAGCCATACCAGCGAAATAATCATGAGTACAATAAACGATATCGAGACAAACAGAACGGAGGTTCTGAAAAGAGCAAAAATGAACATTAATTACAGGTGTATATAAATATATGTATTCATATGAAGTTTAATCAAACTTTAAATCGATAAAGCTCTTAATTTGACTCCAATTCAAGAGTTCGCGCTGAACAGCAATTTTTGTCCCAAATAGGTTTCATGGGGACGTAGCTCAGTGGTAGAGCGCTCGCTTCGCATGTGAGAAGTCCCGGGTTCAAACCCCGGCGTCTCCATTTGTGCTCGAAGCAAGTGTAATGTTCTTTTTTTACCCTTTTGAAAAATTTATAATTGCTTACTTATGCAAAACAACGTATTAAATAATCAAGACTCGGAATCTGGGACCGGCTCGTTTTATTCTCCGATTAAGGCACACTTCTGGTTTTGCATGTAAGCAGTTTATTGATGGATTGCGATTTTTTATTGAAGAGTGAAGCAGTGCAATGATTATTTTCAATATAAATACAAGTACAGCAGTACTTACACCTTTTGCCAAAGGCTGTATGACACTTGGCGTAAGTGAAGCATTCTGCACTTATTCGTTATATGGGGACGTAGCTCAGTGGTAGAGCGCTCGCTTCGCATGTGAGAAGTCCCGGGTTCAAACCCCGGCGTCTCCATAGAGAATTGTCATTATTTTTTGTTTCATATCAATTTTTTACTTTCTGTTTAATACGACCCCAATTTTAATTTATCAAACACAATTCGCTTTTTAAAAATCATATTTCTATCCCTGATTACTGTCGATTGTATGAATAAAATATTTCACAAGCCAGCAAGCAGTATATTTGTTCTCCATTAAAAAAAAGCAGTGCCTCTATATTTGTATGGAGATTTGGTGCACTTGGCATAACTACGGCAATTTGCACAACCCGTTTTCAAGGGGACGTAGCTCAGTGGTAGAGCGCTCGCTTCGCATGTGAGAAGTCCCGGGTTCAAACCCCGGCGTCTCCACATTTAAGTCTCGATCCATTGGATATTTATTACCCTTTGTAATGCTTTTTTATAGTTTTTTAATGCACTTACCGATTTAAGCCGCTGATAGCTCGGATGCCACGACGTCCTTCGATAATGGAAATAGTTACATTGTGTCCCTTATCGACAGTGCTGGCCAGATCAAGTCCAATCGCTTGATAGGTTATCACGGCGGCAATATTACCTGGTAATCAAAACGAAGATGGTGGTGAGAATGCTGCAACTGTAGTGCGTTCAGCGGATGAAACTTACGATTCTTGTTCTTGATCTGCATCTTTTCCAGCTGCATGACCTGCTTGTCATTGTAGATGATAACCCCTGCGGCGTTATACTGATACACATGCTTCACCTTATCCTCGAACGTGCATCGGCCGCGTCGCACCAGCGCTATCCAGGAAACGCCCTTCTCGGGCAGCGGCATACCCAGGGTGCCACGTATATAGGGTGTGCAGGCAAAGTCATCGCTAATATCATCGGCGGTGCTAATATGAATAAGACGACCTGTGACATTGAGCACTCTGCCCTCGCCGTAGCGCGCCTTTTCGTCCGTAAATTCAATTTCACAGGGAATATTCTCGCTGTCCACGTACGACCAGTTGAGGAAGGCGAAATTATAGAAATCGGAGAGGCGCTCCTCGGCTAGGCTGCTAAACACGAGTGTCGCATTAGCTGGCCGAAAGTAACGCTCCAGATCCTGATTGGCAATGGTCATGGCCGCCACCAAAGTGGTCGTCGTTGTGGTGGATGTCAAATGTGGCTGGCCACCCAACAGCAGCACTAGGCACGCCAGCAGCAGCATCTCTTGGCAGTACATAACCTGGCCGGAGATCTCTTTACTGTTATTTACCACACAGCTCTTCCCGGTTAACAAGCACTTTTCGTCTCTAAGAACGCTGTAACATTTGTTTCTTCGAGTCCGACACTAACCACAGTCGTTTTAATACTGAAACGATAACAACCGAAACAGTTGTGGGCTAAGAGAGTATTTTCCATATGAGAATTCTAGCCATAAATACGAATTGTTGAAATCGATGGCCGCCTAGTTGGCAAAAAGTGTGGGGCCGCTCGTTTAGCTGGCGATAAGCGGCCATATTAATTGTCTCATATTTATTACTGTTTATTTTGAATACCTTCCGCACTGATAAGCGTCTTATCAGAAGTGTTTCAATTTCCTCTTTACCTACTGAAAAGTCTTTTCAAATTGCTGCATTGAACAGTAATAAGGCTTTCACTATCAAAAGCCCTAAATACAAATACTTATTTATATTGCGTGTTTAATTCTTGTTCGCGTTAAATTCTCTCTAAGCAAAATCTGTTGGAACTTAGAAGTATTTCACAACGATTAAGGATAAGGCAGGACAAAGAGAGGTAAGGATCTAGCAGAATATACAACATTTGTATAGTAATTTTATTGTCATATATCATCATATACCATTATTATGTTCATTTATTGTATCCCAACTAAGCAGCTAAATTTCAGTCTGACTTTCCACATACCGTTAACACTTTATGAATCTGTGAATAAACCAACACTTGCCATAAACTTTTTGGATCAGATACAAATCATATTTATTTTCAACTATAGACCGACCCGTTCAGTAATTTAAGTAAATGGCGATTTCCCTAGTTTCCTGCATTTTGGCCATTTCGTTGCGCACAAGCGCCATCTGAAGGCCAATGCCACTGGCAAAGGCGTTGCCATTAATAATATGCCTGATGCCCCAATTTCCCCTCCCCCTGTTTTTGCTAGATCCCTAGTTGTTGCCTGCTGTGTCAGGGAAATGCAATGCATTTAAATATTTTATATTGTGCTGCCAGGGCTAGTGCCATGGCAAATGGGTGGCCAAGAGGCCGCACGAAAGACTCGTGGGTGTGCGGCTGACACTGAAAAGTGGTTCAGCAAGCCACCAGCCACCAGCCGCCAGCATCAACAGCCACTGGCCACCACATAAAGAGGAGCAGGCAACCAGTTCCAGTTCTACTTACTACAAAAACAGACAAGCAGAATCAGCTTGGACACCTACTTGTTATACCTCTATTTCCCTCCCCGACGTCTGGCCATCATATTATTTAATTTTTATATGCACTCGGTTTTTAGCAGTCTACTCAACCAACCAAGTGAGCCAAAGACCCGGCGATTCCACCAATTGAATACAAAACTTTATTTTGACGCCTATTTATGGTCGCATAATTCATTGTGCGTGCACGTGTGTGTGTATGTGTGTGTGCGTATGGGTGACTTGGTTACTTAGCAGTTGGTTATTTGAGATTGCGCTACCTGACTTTGATCATATTGGTAAGTCAAACATCTCAGTTTAATTAAATTTCTTTACAACATAAAAGAATACTGTGTGAAGGTTGCGAGTTCGAATCCCAGTTAAAAGGTGCAAGGTATATTTTAACTACTAGCTATATACTACATTTGGAATGAGAATAAATAGTTGTGTATTCAATCATCACCTCTTAAATAATACTTTTTGCAGTAATTTGGCTTATAAGTTTCGCCCAGATCCCGGCTAGTGTAGCGCCCCTTTAAGTTCGCCTAGGTCTTGCCAAAATGTCTTTTCGATTGGCCCATTGCGCATTTTGCATGCATCGTTGCATTTTATTTCAGCATTCGCTGATGTTGTTGCTGCTGTTGCAGTTGCTCTTGGCATGTGGCTAACCAGCAGGACAAGGGCAGCGATCGATGCTTGCGAAGAAAGGAGTGCAGGGCATGCGGCCAAATGCGGACAGAGTCGGTGGGCAGCCGACTGGGCCAACAGCCGACTGCTAAACGAGCCAGGCAAAAGAAAAAAGCCAACAACCACATTGAGTGAGCACGCTGCCCGTTTAGGATAATGACCCTGACTGTTCGCTGTAGCTGTTGCCAAAAGTGTTAAGAGCGCATATGCAGTAAATATTTGTGTATGTGTCCCACTGTGCGTGTGAGTGTACGGATGCGTGTGCGAGTGAGCGAAAGAGAACGCTGAAAATAAAAGTGAAAAATGGCAAAAATTGAATTTGGTATTCAATTTTTGTATTGTTCATTTGTGGGTTTATTTGTTGTGCGTATTTGTGTGCGAGTGTGCGAGACGTGTGCATATCAAAGATAAAACTTATGTTGGGTGTGTCTGAGTCGCATTTCTTGGTAATATCTACAAATTGAGTTGCTCTTAAAATGCATTTAAAAAGTTTAATAAAAAAGGATTGGAGTTCGAGCCACAAACTTTGTGCACTTGCACAATATTATTATTGTGTAAGCTCTGCTGGCAGTGGAAATATTTATTTGTCAGCTATCAAACATTTAAAGAGAAATCTTTAATTTGTACGCCAAATTTGTCCATCTTATTCACTTCACCTTAATTACACGTATTAATTATTTATATTTTTCGATAAGAACTTGTTGTTGTTGTCACAATTGCGCTTGTCGCCGTATCTGTGGCACTTCTTCTTGTTTATTTATATAAAGCGATTGTTGTTGTTATAAAATTACGCTTCGTACAATTTGGCCAATCGCCAAACTGAGCAAAGTGTTTTCCCCATCTAAATAAATAAAGCGTCTTAATTGTTTTTTCTCCTTTCTGTTTTCCCCATTTAATTTATTCTTTTTATATAGGATTGCGTGCTATTTTTAGTTTATTTATTTTGCGTTTCATGCATTTTTGATAAGTTCTTTGTTTATTGTTTTAGTGGTTAAGCTTCTCATTCAGTCCGATCCACAGGTGCATCTATTTTTAGTTATTTTCCCAGACTTAGCACGACTTATGTTTGCGGGGCATGATAAAAGAACTAACTTAAGCTTCTTTAGCTGGCTTTCAATAAAAAGGCATTTCCATATTTAACTAAAGATATGTTATATCTGGGTTTTCGATTTCCCCTTGCTATTCATATCTTTTAAACAAATACTATCTGCAGAATGGCGCCATAAATCAACAGTTTCTGTTCGTAAATTGCAAAAATCGAAAAAGAATAAATAAAATTCAATTAAAGCAGCCTTCCATAAATTCCGTTAAATAAACACACTCTAAAACCGCGCAGATAAAGCAAAAAACTGCAAATAATTCAACATTTATTTGAGTATAAATTCAAACTCATAAGTGCACTCACATAAACATTCGTCTGTTTGTGTATCAAAACGTGATTTACAAAAAACGTGATACGAATGATAATAGATTTTGCAATACGAGTCTTTGATAGTTGTTTGTTGTTGTTATATTCGCTTTTATCTACAAACGAGTGTTTGCCGCTGCCTTATTCACTTGAATACAAACAACAAAAAATAAATAAAATAAAATATATAAATATTTAATTTATGTGCATTTGACATGCCTAATGGGCAGAGGAAGCACAAATTGCTTTAAACACACGCTAAAGTCGATTGGAGATTTATGAACTAAGAAATTATATAGGTACAAGCCAAACAGACGCCAAAGGATGCCCAGCCAAAGAGCTGAGGAGGAAGTCAAAGACAGTTGCCGGCAATTAAAATGTGATTAGCAATAATTCGACATTAAGGTTCAAGACATGTGCTACACACAACACACTTTATTCATGAGCAGAACATTATATAAGGAAGACTCATTCAAAAATGTATGCAAAGTGAACTGAAAATACTTTGCTGCTGCCAAGAGGAAGTCTTTTGTGGTTGAGTTTTATAATAAAAGTATTATTAAAAGGTTTACGAGAGATGTTAAATAGTAATTTCATGGAGTGTATTAGAAAATTGTCGGATAGAAAACTCAAAAGAAAACTGAACCCACAGTCAGGGTTCGAGTTTCAGGCTAGTGCAAGTCGTTGGTATCAGAGGATACCATGCAAACTAATGGATGAATTATCCAAATCTCATGTTGATAGGTCACAGCTCTATACTCATATACTCCTATAGTCATTATTGTAATAATAATAATAATAATAATTCTAATAATAATAATAAGTCTAATACTAATAATAATTCTAATAATAATAATAATTCGAATAACAATAATAATTCGAATAACAAAAATAATTCTCATAATCATAATAGTTCTAATAATAATATACATAAAATTCATAATATTACTTAAATAAAATTAATAAATTAAACAAAAACGAGAAAGAAGGGCTATCTTCGGCACGCCTAATACCCTTGCAGACCCAACCTTTTCATAATGCTTATAGTGCTTTGCCCGTATCTAAGAAGCACAGGGAAAATAGTTAATGCCGAGTTTGGGCAAGATATCTTGATAAACAAAATGTTTTTTCATACAACTTAATTTTCGACCGATTGTTCCTATGGCAGCTATATGATATAGTGGTCCGATCTAATAGGATTTTGCATATATATGAGGAGCATAGTAAAACTAATAAATGCCGAGTTTGGTCAAGATATCTTGAAAAACAAAATGTTTTTATATACAAAAACTTAATTTTCGACCGACCGTTCCTATGGCAGCTATATGATATAGTGGTCCGATCCAGCTGGTTTTCACATATGTGCTGCGTGCAACAGAAAGAGGGACTTCTGCAAAATTTCATTAAGGTAGCTTTAAAACTGAGAGACTAGTTCGCATAGAAACAGACAGACGGACAGACGGACATGGCTATATCGACTCGGCTGTTGATGCTGATCAAGAATATATATACTTTATGGGGTCGGAGATGTCTCCTTCTATGCGTTACACATTTCACGACAAAATTATAATACCCTCTGCAAGGGTATAATAAAAAATTGATAATAATAGTAATAATAATCTTTGCCTTAACACCAAATACTTTTTGCTGATACCAAATGCTTAAACTTTAATTTTTATAAAAAGTTTGCAGCTATATCTTATACTCATAATTGTAATAGTTATAATAATAATAACATTAATGATGATGATAATAAGAATACTAATAATTAAAATAGTGATAATAGCAATAAAAATATTTGCCAAAAATTTAATTCTCTTTGATACCAATGCGAAAATGTTTAATTTGATT